TCACTCACTGTCACTCACACTCTCACTCTCTCACTCACTCACTCACTCACTCACTCACTCACTCACTCACTGTCACTCACACTCTCACTCTCTCACTCACTCACTCACTCACTCACTCACTCACTCACTCACTGTCACTCACACTCTCACTCTCTCACTCACTCACTCACTCACTCACTCACTCACTCACTCTCTGTCACTCACTCACTCACTCACACTCTCACTCTCTCACTCACTCACTCACTCTCACTCACTCACTCACTCACTCTCACTCACTCACTCACTCACTCACTCACTCACTCACTCACTCACTCACTCACTCACTCACTCACTCACCAAAACTATAGAAAAGAGCAGAAAGATCTCCAGACAAAGGCTGTGCAGTCAAAACATCTAAATAATCTAATCTTTTTTTTAAACTACTTTTTAAGGCAGCACTTTAAAAAAAGATGATTTTGTCCAGAGAGCTGTTTCCAAACTAAATTTCTTTCTGTTTTACAATTGTGTAAACAAAATGACAAATAAAATCTGTCTAAGATCACTTCAAAGCAGGAAGAAGGAGAAGGGAAGTCCACTATTTCAGAATGATAAACTTCACTGGGCGTTGGCAGAGAAACTGGCAGATGGATTAAAATTCAACAGGAAAACAGATAAAAATAGGAAAATACTGATTACAAACTATGTGGATGTGAAGATGTAACATACAGCAGAATGGGTTGTTGACTGTTTCAGAAACTCTTTAATTTTGGGCAAAAGTTCCAGAAATCTTTAGAAGAATCTGCCACGGCTCAGCCGCCTGACGTCTGCGTGCAGCAGCAGATCAGGGCGGTCTGCACCTGCCTCCTCGAGCTGGGCACAGAATAAACGCCTCTGAAAGCTCCCGGCCCGAACAGAGCCAGCGATCTTCATCTAACATCCATGACATCCGGGAAAGTTTCAGGCAGTTTGAACAGAGCAACGAATCCAGCAGTGCGCCCAACCATAGATGGAGCCCCATCAGTTGGGATAGATGTCATTATCTCATTATCTCTGCAGATTCCTCATCGCGCTTTAGAGTCCCTGGTAACCTAGCAACCGTGGCTAACCATGCCCAGCAATCAGCATGCAGAAAAAAAGGTTCCCTGCATACTTTTTATTTTTCATTTTATTATTATGAAATAGACGTTGGCCTCTCTTAATCAATGATTTGATTAGTGTTTTTTAAAAGGTTTTTTTTTTTGTTGTCATAGCCATAAATAGGTCTACATTGTAAAACTTCTCGCGATCGACTGAAACTCCGCCCACAATCGACTGGTTGGGCATCCCTGCCCTACAGACTAAATATGGTTTAGGTCAAGATGATTTTTACAGGTATTTGCAGGTTAGACATTATTTCCACCAAAATTTAAAAACAGTATATAAAAAGATTTAGGTTTCTTACAGATATTCTTAACTTTAACCAGGTCTCATTCTCACAATAATATAATTTCTAGATTATATAAGGGCATTCAGCACAGAAGGTATAAAGAAGAGGTGGAAAAGGAGGGAAATATCTCACCTGACAGTTGGAGCAATATAAGCCAGTTTCAGTGGACAATAACAGGGTAGAACACATGGTGAGCGTTCAAGAACATGATCAGGTACTTTATTACGCCTATCCAGAAACGCCATCAAGGTGGCGGGGACGCATGCTGGAGACTATGTGGGGTCACTGGTGCCAAACACTTCCATATTTTTTGGAAATGTCATGATATAATTAATTATTGGACACAGATAGGAGAACATTTTAATAATGTATTGGTACTAAAATTCCCCTTAAATGTGAAACACTGTATTTGGTGATGATCCTGTGATAAACTGGAATAACAATGATAAAAGATTACTTGCTATGTAACTTATTGCTTATTAAAATGTAACTTATTGCTTATTAAAATGTAACTTATTGCTTATTAAAATGTAACTTATTGCTTAGTAAAAAGGCCATCAGCAGAAAGTGGCTGAGAGTGGAACCTCCAGCTATTGAGGATTGGATCAATATAAAAAACAAAATATATGTGATGGAAAAGTTGTCTTTTTCCCTCAGGATGCAAAATGACATGTTTTACAAAATCTGGACTAAATGGACATAAAACCCTTATGGTCAGATTTTGTATGAATGATACGTTTCTGTACTTCAAACCTTGTCTTATGAATATCGGCATGCTTCCCATACATGTTTATGTTTGTGTTTATATATGTCTTGATACTGTGAAAACGTTTAAAAATAAAGATAATATAAAAAAAGAACTAACAGATTGTTCAGAGTGGGACGACAGAAGTTACTGAATTGATCCTTTTTGAAATGTTTGTTTGATTCCAGAAGGACAGCAGCAGTCCCTCTCTGTCCTGTGAACCCCTCTGGGCCGTCAGGGTAAGTCACTATCAGCTGCTATCTTCTATAAATCTGTTTAAAGAGGATCTATGTGTGGATTAAAGCCATGTTGAATAAAGGTTTTAACACTGATCATAATTCTTACATTTCCCCATCATGGGGCAGTGAAGGATGTACACATTTTATAAACATTTGATTAGTGATGGTGAGATGAAGCCTCATGAGGCATCGAACCCTGCGGCTTCTAAGAATCATTTAGTGGAGATTCTTGTGAACGTGACTCCGCCTACTGGTGCAGTGCAGAACTATAGTTAGCAATGGAATCTGGGATGTTTGCTTTTTTTTTTCTTGTTTGTTTTTACATTTCGGTCCCTTTGAAATTGATCATGATTGATGCGTATGATCAGATATTTTATAGGGTTAGTGTGTTTTAAATTGTCTTATTTCTACCTGAACATCAGTTCATGTATAAATAACAGGTTTTATTTCTTTTGTAAAACATAACAACACGAGAAGGATGCTAAATATCTGCTTTTTTTCCCCACATAAAAATAGTTCTATTTAATTGATTCTACGTCCAGAAATCGGATAAAGACAAACAGAGGAACTCTATTTACAGTGATTCTATTTTTCTAGATTTCCACACGTCCATGAGTAAATTAGTACAAACATTAATGTCTGCTAAATAATGCTTGAATCTGGCTGTTTATTTTGGTTACTATTACATTACAGATTAGATAGGGTTGTATTGTTTTTTTTTATAATTGTTGAAAGTGATTTTATATTTGAATAAACTTAGGCTCATTCTTAGTGTTGTGATTGTAGATGATGCCACTAAAAAAAAGAAAGACATAAGGAGCTATTTAAACAGTCAGACAGTAAGCAATATAGGATGATGATGAAAGGTTGTTACATTTAATCCTTTAATATTATAAATATTAAAGAATTACTATAGTATACTGTCGGGATTACTAAAGAATTACTATACTATAAGTAATGATTATTTTGCAAATTAATTAATCTGTTTATTTTTTCAATGAATCAAATAATAACCCCTGAGGGATTACAACCCAAAGTAATGAGAAACTGATGACCCCCCACCTTGGGTCATCAGATCATCTATCAGTCATGCTTATCCCTGCATATAAGCCCCATCTGATCAGGGCTAAACGACAGTTAAAGAGGTCAGAGTGTGGTCTGAGGGCGCCATGGAAACACTTCAAGACTGTTTGAATGCTCTGACTGGAACATCTTCAAGGTTGCAGCAACATATTACAACTTATTAAATATTGATGACTGTGTCGGCCTATATTTACAAATGCATTAAGGACATCAGCATCAAAAAGAACATCACCACCCGGGCCAACCAACCACCCTAGATAAATGGAGAGGTTCAGAAATCGCTAAAAGCACCGAACTCAGCTTTCA